TCCCCTTCATTTGGAAAACCAAAGCGTGCCCCATCATCACGGAAGGACCCGGAACGTGGGACCCCCACCCCCACGTGCACCCTGGCTGCAGCCCCTCTTTGCGGCTCTGGATGTGGTTGGAGATGGAGCGGGGCCAAGTGCGGGATGCTGGTGAGCAGCTTTGGGCTCAGTGCTGCAGCACCGCTCCCCCCAGCGCCTCACCCCACAGCCCGTGGGTTCCTGGGTCACCCCAAGGTCCCAGCGTGGCTCTTCCCACCTCTGTCACCCTTTGCTCGCACCACCGCAAGGTGCCCCTCGTGCTCCCCTTTGTTGCACCATCACACCACAAATGGACCTTTGCTCCCCCCCCAAACGATGACCCCAAGGCCCTGTGGTCACCCCAAGGTGTCTCCTTTCATCCCACCGTGACACCAGGATGCTCCTCACAGCCTCTTGGTTGCACCATGACATAAGGATGACCCCGTGGCCCTTTGGTCATCCCATGATGTCCCAAATAGCACTTCCACATCCCAGACTGATGTCCCAAACGGTTCTTCTCCCTCCCAAAATACCTCACTGGTCAACCCAAGATGGACAACGCAGCACTTTCATTGCCCCACGTATCTCCTCCAGCTCTTTGGTCACCTCAAGACGGCCCCAAATGGCTCTTACACCCCCAAAACACCACCCACAGCCCTGTGGTCACCCCAAAATGAACCTACACGATCATCACGGTCCTGTTCAACCCAAGCCACTCCATGATTTAAATGGCTCTTCCACGCTCCAGATACCTCCATGGCTCTTTGGCCAACTCAAGATGCCCCAAATGTCTGTGCCAACCTCCAACTCACCTCTCACAGCCCTTCGGTCACCCCAAGGTGCATCAAATGATTCTTCTGCCTCCCCCAAAATACATCTTTGGTCAAACCAAAATGACCAACACAGCCCTTCCATCGCTCCAAATATCTCCTCTAACTCTTTGGTCGCCTCAAGATGCCCCAGATGGCTCTTCCATCCCCCAAATATCATCCATGGCCCTTTGCTCACCCCAACAGGTCCCAAATGGCTCTTCCACCTCCCACAATAACACCGTAGCCCTTTGGTCGCCTCCACGATGCCCCCCTAAAAACCCCCACTGGTGACCCCAAGACGCCCCAAATGGTTCTTCTCTCACAAAAAACCTTCCCGAGGTCACCCCAAGACGCCCCACGTGGCTCCTGCACCTCCCAAAAGCACCACCCACGTCCCCATGGGCACCCAAACCACCCCCCTCACCCTCCGAACCCCCACAGCTCCTTCCCTCACCCACCCCTTTATCCCCCATTGGGGTAACCCCAACCCACTGAACCCCCACAAAGGCCCTCATATCTCCACTTCCCCCATCTCTCAGGTCCTCCAAACCCCATCAGGAGCCCCGTTATGGGGCTGGGCCCCCCCGGCAGCCTGGGGCTGTGTGTGCCAGCACATTTCTGGCTGCCTCGCCGCGCCGCAGCGGCCGGCCAAGCTCTGTGCTCACCGCCATGTGACGGCTGCCTGCGGCCGGCCAACCTCACTAAAATGGCGTGCCTTCCCCCCCCCGGCCCCCCCACACCACCCTAGAGGGGCTCAGGGGGGTCCCCGCAGCCACCATTGAGCTCAGGTGCGACGGGGAGGTGTGGGCACCCCAAAGAGCTGCACCCCGTAAGCAGTATTGCTGTTGGGAACCCCCCCCCCCCTAAACACATCTTTCCTTTTGCTGGGGGGGGTCTGCAAGCAGGAATTTGGGGGGAGAAGGGGGGGGGAACGCGTAGGGCATGGGGTGAAGTGCCAGCGTTCCCCCCAACAGCACTGTGCTGGGTGCCCAAACAGGTCGATAGCTCTTAAAAATAGCAAAGTGTTTGCCCGTGGAGGGGGGGGGGGGCTGATAGGGGCTGCCTGGGCGCGCTGGCAGCCTGGCACTGTGCCACCCATTGAATTATGGCCTCGCCGGGTTGGCAGGGTGCCCCCCACCCCATGGCACCGCTGCTTGGGAACGGCCCCCCCCCCAGCAGTCCCCGCTGGGGCCTCACCACCCCGACCGGGGCTGTCCCTGGGGGGGGTGGGGGGGTCCCTGCTGGCTGGGTTCCCCCCGGGGCTGAGGGAGAGCCCTGGCTGCGTGCCCGATGCTGACGGTAACAGGGCACGGCGTTCCTGGCAGCGGGGCGGGGGGAGACGCTCGGCGTGGGGGGGGGCAGAGGGGTCTCTGTGCCTCAGTTTCCCCAGGGTTAACCATCCCCCCTCCCCCCAATCCCTCCCTCTATGGCCGTGCAGCCCCCACACCCCCCCACCCCAACATCATAGGGCCATCAGAGTGACCAGCCATGGGAAGCTGAGCTGTGGGGCTGTGCGGTGTGATTTGGGACCTCCAGCACCACCCTATTAGCACAGCCCTCCCCAATGCCCCATACATAAACCCCCATATATAAACCCCCTACATAAACCCCCCTATCTAAACCCCCCTACATAGCCCCCCTACATAGATCCCCATACATAGATCCCCCTACATAACCCCCTACATAAACCCCTACATAAACCCCATATATAAACCCCTACATAACCCCCATATATAAACCCCATATATAAACCCCTACATAACCCCCCATACACAAACCCCATATATAAACCCCATACATAAACCCCTCCATACCCCCCTACACAAACCCCATATATAACCCCATATATAACCCCCTACATAACCCCATACACAACCCCCTGCACAACCCCCCTTTGCAGACCCAGCCCTGCCCCATTTCTGTACCCCCCCCCCCCCCCCCCCCCCCCCACGCCCCCCCCCGCGGCGCCCCCCCCCCCCCCCCCCCCCCCCCCCCCCCCCCCGCCGCCGGCCGCGGCGGCGCCCGCCCCCCCCCCCCCCCCCCCCACAACGTAGGGCTGGGCTGGTGCCAGAGCGCGGCCAGATGGCGGGGGACAAAGGGACGGGAGGGGGGAGGTTGGTGGCGTTGGGCGCTGCTTGTTGGGATGGGGTGGGTGACCCCCCCCCACACCCCCATCTTGAGGGAGCGATGGGGCCCCGTGGGGTTGGTAGGGGATGGAAGGGGGTCTGTGAGCGCCGAGGTGCTGGCAGGAGGAGGTGGGATGGGGGGAGGTGGAGGGAAGATGGGGGAAGGAGAGGGAGAAAGGGGGGTGAAAGGAGAAAGGAGGGAAGGGGGGTGAGGGGGGGATAAGGAAAGAGAGGGAAGTATGGAAATAAAAGGGGGAAAGGGAAAGAAAAACATGAACATAAAGGAAAAGAGAAAAGGGGGGAAAAAGAGAAAGAAAAGCATGAAAATAAAAGAGAAAGGAAAAAGAAAAAGAAAAAGAAAAAAAGAAAAAGAAAACAAAAAAAAGAAAAAGAAGAAGAAGAAGAAAAAGAAGAAGAAAAAGAAGAAGAAGGGGAAGAAAAAGAAAAAGAAAAAAAGAAAAAGAAAAAGAAAAAGGAGAAAAAGAAAAAGAAAAAAAGAAAACAAAAAAAGAAAAAGAAGAAGAAGAAGAAGAAGAAGAAGAAAAAGAAAAAGAAAAAGAAGAAAAAGGAAAATAAAAAGAAAAAGAAAAAGGAGAAAAAGAAAAAAGAAAGAGAAAAAGAGAAAAAAGAGAAAGAAAAAGAGAAAGAAAAGTAAAAGAAAAAGGAATGGAAAAGAAAAAGGAAAAGGAAAAGAAAAAAAGAAAAAGAGGAAAAGATAAAGAAAAAAAAAAGAAAAAAGTGAAAAGAGAAAAATAGAGAAATGAAAAAAAAGGAATAAAAGAGAAAAAATTGTAAAGAAAAGGAACGAAGGAAAGAGAAGCAGGGAAAGAATAAGAGAAGAAAGAAAAGCAAAAAGGAGAAGAAAGAATGAAATGGAAGGAGGGAAGGAAGGAGGACGGCAGTGATGGTGCACACAGCCCTATGGCACAGCACAACCCTATAACACAACCCTATGGCACAACCCTATAGCGTGGCCCCACAGCATGGCACAGCCCCATAGCACTGCCCCACAGCATGGCAGGACCCTAAGGCAGGGCCCCACAGAACAGCACAACCCTATAGCACGGCCCCACAGGGTGGCACAACCCTACAGCACAGCCCCAAGCATGCCTGAACCCTAAGGCAGGACCCTATAACATGGCACAACCCTACAACATGGCCCCACTGCACAGCACAGCCCTATAGCACAGCCCCACAGCAGGGCACAACCCTACAGCATGGCCCCATAGCCACTGCACAGCACAGCCCTATAGCACAGCCCCACAGCAGGGCACAACCCTACAGCATGGCCCCATAGCACGGCACAGCCCTACAGCACGGCCCCATAGCACGGCACAG